AAGTCCCCTTTATTTAAATGTCCTTGGCCAGCCACATCCACTTTGCTCCGCGATTCCTCGCATGAATGTTTCGTATGTGACCAGGCTAAAGATAACCTTAATAATAATTTTAAGGAAACCCATATTTACGATTTAAATAACGCCCACAAAAATTTGAAAAAAAATTAATTGGTAGCCTCGGAATAATTTTAGACAATTTTTTCATACAATGCATAGATGACGACTAAAATATTATGGCTTTCGATTGTCTTACATACACTTTGTTCAACTTCGATAGTTCTACACAACTGTCAAAATTGTTGCAAAACAGGTCTTATACGCCCTATATCTCAGTTATGCAACGGTTATGATCGGAACAACGGATAAAAAAATAGTCGAGGATGAACGAAGTGTATAAGACCTCTGGTAGATATAAACATTTGAAGTAAAACGAAGTGTCTACGTATGCTTGTTTTTTGGTTCAACTGAGTGGTTGGATAAAGCATCACATCAAAATCGCCCTATTTTGTATATTCCAAATATTTGAATATTTTATAAAGGGTGTCCCGTTTAAAACTCCCCAGCTGGATATCTCCAAAACGGAAAAAAATAAATGATTTCTGAAAAATCCACTTTCAATAGTTTTAATAAATGGCTTTACTTGTGAGTACATGAAAGATATCTAAATTATAAGCAACTTTTGTGATATAAACAATTTTCGAAAAGCCTCTAGTTTCCGAGATACTTAGATATGAGGTAATGTTTTTCCAGAAGAAAGATTTTTTAAAGTTAAGTTTTCAGGCATAATACTGCAGATTTTCGTCGTATTAGATTGCTTTGAATAAAACAGTGTTTAATTAATTTTATTTAACTAATAGATATCACAGGAAATTATATTAAATCTTGTTTACGCAAAACATAGTATTTTCGGTCAAGATAAAGTAATATTTATTTAACAAAAACTGATGCAAAATTAACAGAAGTTACAAATAAACGATACTAAATTAACATAATATACGAGTCACAATAAGTGTTCAAAATTGCCGCCATTCTCATGAATACATAACTCATATCTTTTTCTAAGTTCGGTGTCAGTTGCCCGTAATAAAACATTTCGAAGAATAGATGCACAGCTCGCATAAATTTTATTGCACAAGTAAGCCAATTTCTGTTTGGTAAATTAGGTTCTTTAGGTAACCCCACAAGAAAAAATCGAGTGGAGTTAAATCAGGGGTGCGGGCAGGCCACCTTATTGAACCATTGGTGCCAACCCATCGCCCCTGAAAATATTCATGAAGAACATTTTGCACCCTTCTTTCGTTATGAGCTGGTGCCCCGTCTTGTTGGAACCAGATATTTTGTATCATAGCTAAAGGAACTTCTTCCAAAAGAACATTTAGTTGGGTCTGAAGGAATTGTAAATAATTGCGACCGTTCAAATTTTCCTCAAAAATAGAGTCCAATTAATATGCCATTAATAATAGGTACCACACCATACATTTATAGAAAACGTGGTTTAGAAATGTCTGTCTTTGGTCCATCTAGGGTTACTGTCATGCCAGAAATGGCTATTATGTCTATTGAAAATGCCATTTTTTGTAAATCGACTCTCGTCAGTCCATATAATGTTATTTAAAAACTGGTCGTTTTCTTCAGCCTTTATTTCCATTTCTGCAATAAAATTTAGTCTTCGTAGCATATCACCAGGACGTAAATTATGTAAAAGATGCACTTTGTAAGGATGATATGTATTTCGCTTCAAGATATTGTGGACCGATGTTCCGGAAATGCCCGTTTCTTGTTGTATAGTTCGCACCGAGGTATGTGGATTAGTTTCAACCTTACCTAATACCACGGCAGTGTTTCTATCATTTGTAATAGTGTTTCTAGGATGCTTCTTTTTGTTAAAAGAACCACAATGAAGCAAATTCGTCTATAAAGACAAAAAGGTTTTATAAGATCGGGATGTCGACGGTTTGGGTAACGTAGTTGATAAGTCCTTCTGCGTCTCTGGAATTTCTATGACATTCACCGAATATTAAAGTTATGTCGAGCTTTTCTTCATTCGTGTACTTGACCATACTGAATAAATGTCAAATGTGTCAAAATTGAAGGTGTAGACTTGTAGTTATGGTAATAGTAATATGTAATCAACTTTGACACTTCAAGAAAATAAAAGAAGGTTCAAGAAAACGACCAGTTTTTAAATAACATTATATGGACTGACTATGGATATTATTTGTAATTTTTGTTTATTTTGCATCTGTTTTTGTTAAATAAATATTACTTTATCTTGATCGAAAAGACTATGATTTACGTAAACAAGATTAAATGAAGTAATTTCCTGTGATATCTATTAGTTAAATAAAATTAATTCATCACTGTTATATTCAAAGCAATCTAATACGACGAAAATCTGCAGTAGATATGCCTGAAAACTTAACTTTAAAAAATCTTCCTCCTGGAAAAAAAATTACCTCAACACCAAGTATCTCGGAAACTGGTGGCTTTTCGAAAATTGTTTATATCACAAAACTTGCTTATAATTTAGAGATGTGCGCCACTTTTTAAAACTGCTGTTAATAAAATATGTTTTCGGATTGCATCGACATCTATACCTGCATTGAGAGGAACGGGATTTGTACTCACAAGTAAATCCATTTATTGAAACTATAGAGTGGATTTATTAGAAATCATTTCCTTTTTCGAGATATCCAGAAGGGGAGTTTTAAACGGGACACCCTGTATATGTATAAATCCCACAATATTATTTAATATTTATATCTACGAAGTTTCCGTTTCAGTTTAAAAATATAGGTGGCTTTGGAAATTCTTGAAGATGAAAAATTTGCCAATTACTGACCCTGCCGTTTAATAATTGGTAAATAGTAGAGTCTGCACGTAAATTAATTTTACAATTCTGGGCAGGACATAATATTTACACATAAAATATTTGCCAATTGTAAACACCAGTGTCCTTAAATGGCTAAATTTTCATTTAACATTTTAAATGCCTTCTAGATTTTTAATCTGAAACAAAAATGTAATCCTGTATGTAAATAAATATTCTGCATTTTTAATTGATGAAATTTTAGTTAAACGTGTTTTTAGTGGTGCTAAAGAAGACTAACTGGTTCGACATAATTGCTTCAGGCAGACACACCAAGGGGTATACTATATAGGTACAGGATTCTTCACGGGTAGTGACCTATTAAAAACCAAAACCAAAGATAATATGACTGTGAAATTTTGTTTCCGGAAGTTATCAGACATGCTCTCTAATGCCATCAACATAGCAGTTATACCACAAGTACCTCTCAACTTCGATATTTTAAATTTTGTTTGATGCAAGCGTTTCGAAAATTCCTTATATCATTCCTTGTCCTGGACGCTTTCACTTGCTTTCGATTTTCTCAGATATATGTGGTTTTCTTCCATTCTCAAGAATATTACATCAAAAATATAATCAAATGTGCCTTGAAAGACAAATATTGGTATTGTTATTCAGTATTCTACAAGTATCAAGTATTTTTTGATTTTATATCCATGGAACGTTCACTTAGATATAGAATTATTAGCTGAATTTCTATGATTTGGTATTTTATAACTGAAACATAACAATTAATAAAATGATTTCGGTTGGTTTTCTTAAAGCATTTATCTAATTTAATGTTGTGACAGTTTTTAAAGAATAGCAAACATAAATAATGTCAAATAAGTAAATAAAATAAATGATTATCAGATAATTTTATGATATTTGGAATACCTAAAGTCGAAAGGAGAAAGAATATTATAATTTAAAATTTTGGTTGCTTTACATTTCCTTGTTTTCTTAATGAAAGGATATTTATTTGCTCTTTATTGTACGTGCAGTAACGAATAGTAGCATCCCATTGGAAGAAAATATATTTATTTTTTGTAAATATATTCCCTCATTATTTAAAAGATGCAACAAACGTGAAACACGCATTTTATTGATGTAACTATAAAAAAAAATCAATATTCTACAAAGAACACTTGTATGCAAGTTTTCGAATTTCATTCGTGTCCAATTCCTCAAATGTTGCAAAGTACCAAATTATATGCCAAATACCAAATGCTACTAATAATTCTGATTCACGGTGAATTTTTCTTGTGAGCCAATACTTATAGGTACTTGTAGAATACTGAATGACAATACCAATAATATTTTTTAACGTAATATTCTTGAGAATGTAAGAAAACCGCAAATATCTGAGAAAATCGAAACTGTAACCCCTTCAATGCCTATATCGGTGAATAGAGAATTTGATTTTCTATAATACCTATAGTGCAAAAATACAGGGTGTTTCACTTGAATTTAAAAAATTTTGTCGGTTTTAAGTTTTTAAAATGTAATGTAAAAAATGATTCACTTGGTATAATTTTCTTCAGGTGATTTTGATAGTGGAAGGTAGTGCATCTCATATTCTTTATGTGTTCCGAAAAGCAAGTGAAAGCGTCCAGAACGAAGAATGATATAAGGAATTTTCTGCATCTGTCAAAATTTTTATAAAATGTCGATTATCTCGAAAACGGTTAAATTTAGGTACAGGGAAGCCTTATCATTTTTGACTTTTCTAATTTATCTTGTCGATAATGCAATAATATATAGGATGTTCTATTTAACATAACGAAGTTGACAGCTACTTCCGGTATAACTGGAAGTGCTCCGTTGATGGCATTATTTTCATTGAAGAGAGCATTATCTGATAACCTTAGAAACAAAATTTCAGTCATATTATAAATTGGTTTCTCAGAAACGTTTAATAGGCCACTTACCGTGAGGAACCCTGTATATAAAAAATCATGCGAATCGTAGGTACATCAAAAAAAAAAAAAAAATTGGGAAGATGGTATGCACTGTATTTGAAAAAGTGTAATACATTTTAATTTCCACACCCTATATCTTGCAAATCAGTACCATTCTTTATTTGGGTATCAAATGATCCAAGCAACATACTGTTGAAGTTATGGTCTCTAATAATAAGTTTATTTTTCAGGAAAGTAGCAAAACAGCGGCTCCCACCGAAACAGAAAAGACGGTCCTCATGCAGCACGATATGGTAGCAAAATATAAGCAGCTATTGGCGGAAAGTGAACAAAAATTAACTGAGAAGTAAATACAAATATTTAATATTTAACTAATCTAGTTGGGTCACTCAAAAACTACACATACACTGAAAACTGAACAATTTTACGTAGGTACTGACATACAATATTTTGCAAAATATGGGTAAAAATTGGCCAGTTTGAAACTGATGACATCCCAAATAAATGCCTAAAAGCACTAAATCACTAAAAGAAAAATTGAATAAGTATTTAACAATGAATCGAATCATGGAATTATATGCAGAGTGAAAGAAATCGAGTTTTTTTTATGAGAAAATAGAAATGAATATTATTTCAGTGTTTTTAAAATATTTGACTATTTATTTACCAACCTTCAAAACTCTTAACATTTTGTGGCAGATTTTCATATTTAAGACAGCGTGTTAGAATTAAAATAAATTTAAATTGTTATAAGTACAGAGATTTTCATTTTTTCAGCAACTTTAACAATTTTAAGTCGCGAAAACTTTATTTTAGCAGCTTACATTAATTTATGGGTCTGTATCATGTAAAAATAAATTATCTTTCATCTAGTTATACGCATCGCAAGAGTTAAACTTAAAATTGCTACCAAATTAACCACTAACGTAAACAACAATTTACTAATAGTTATTTACTTGCGTAACAAATACGAAATATAATTATTTGATGAATGAAGCTAAATGTTTTGGACGAGACGTTAGTCGGAATGTCCAGGTGAATCCGTCACAGCACTTTGCGTAGATCTTGCATTCAGTCCAATTGCTGAAATACAAATTATTAGGTGACATTTTTCAATTAAATTTTTATTTTCACAGATTTTATCACAGATTCCAAGGAAATAAATAGAAAATAAGACAGTAAAGTGTTTCTATTAATATTTTGAGGTCTAGTCCGTTAGGCGGCGACACATATTTAATACTGTGAGACAAATTAGCGGCGCCTGTGTATCATTTCATATACATGTGTTTTAAATGACCAAAGCGGTACCGCCCCGAGGTACTACCGCAAATATGTTGCCGGCCTTAAAGTGTTATTTTGCAGAATTTAAGTCCAATGTCCAATATTCATTTTTGTTAGCTTATACGGAAATTAATTTTCTTCAATTCAGTCTTTACGGTTTATTTTACAACAGAATACAATTTCTGATAGCGTATAGGATATTTTTATTCAGTACTATCGAAAACGTTTCTACAAGAAAAATGTGAAACTTTCTTTACCATATCTAATGAAACTCCGTTTATATAAATATTGTTTTTATTATAGGAATTCGTCTTCATAAACATTCTAAACTTTCTGGATTGACATAGATATATGATTATAAGGGTAATTTAATAATATACATGAAATCGAAAAAGTAAATAGACAGAGTATAAAATATTTATTTATAAAAATCTATTGTAAATGAAAGGTTTATGTTAAGTAAGTATACAAAACCATTAAGAATTCATAAATATGACAGCATCAAAAAGTAGCTAAATGAAAATCAAACTGTCCCAAAACTAGAGACCGACCTTCAGCCGAAGCCGATGCCGAAGCTGAAGATATTTTTATTACTTGAAAATTTTAATTAATAACAATAATATGATAACATAAAAGTATGTCAAAACCTAGGGTGTTAATTAAGTATGTACAATGAATTCAACAGACGATTATTTGAGTGATTTTAATATAAAAAGTTCATACAAACATTGGTCCGCAGATGCATCGTTTTCAAGATACAGGGTGTTAATCTTTTATAAAAAAAATGCTAAGAAAAAGTATTAACTTTCATTGATCCGAGAGAACTGATCTCTTTACCAGGTGAACAGAAGTTTAAAGGACTTTATGGAATGAAGTTAATATACCTATCCCTGTTTTATAAAGCGCCATAAACAGTATAGGTTAAGGCATCATATTATTAGCGCGTGCTGACCTTTATGATTATTTAAACAATAAAAATAAAAGCAGTGAAAGTAAGATGTAAGTTGACAATTATTGGCGACGAAATAGAAATCTTTATGATCATATTTTATGTTCTTACTTAGTCCAAGCATTATAGAGAAATGATAACAGAAATTATTATCTGGAAAAATATATGAGCGTAGGTATAGGAAATTAAATTTTAAATTGAGTTTCTTCTCCAAAATGGCGAACATTGTCAAAAAAATTCGCAGTTACAAAAAACGTTTTTTTCTAAATAACTATAGTTTATAGCTCCGATCAAAATATTTTAAATGAGAAAGTTCTAGGTTTTAAAAAGATCTATGGACTGATTTTTTGTAAGTACCTATCGATTGCTCTGTAACTTTTCTAGATATATCGAAAAAACCGATAAAAATTTTCTCTTTTCTCTTCTGTAATTCGTTTAAATTTACGTTCCCATACTTGCTATTTAGTATAAGTATAGCCAACGGTAAGCCAAAAACGTATATTTTTGAAAAATTAAAAAATATTATTTTTCGTGATACATCGATCTTTTCAAAAAAACGTGCTCTCGAAAATTGACTAGATCTTTTGAGCGGATGGCCCTACGATTTTCGGCTTATTTTCTTCGTAAAGAGTTGTATTAGCATACTATTAAATATTTTTTTAAATTTTATTTATTTTAGGAATCAAAAAATGACTGAAAAAATTGCACTTTTTTTAACATCTTTTTCAAATAACTATTTCAATTTTTATTTTATGGAAATTACTTAAATTAATTACATATTGCTGACATTTTTCAGGAATTTTAAAAAAATGTTTTTCTGTGACATTCTAGAGCGAGATAACTTTTTTAATTAAAAAAATCTAGAGGACGCATTTAACATTTTACAGCGATGCGCTTAACGGAGGTTAATACTGAATACTTGTATTTTCAAGTAAGTAATAAATAATAGGACATGTTTCATTGATTTTTTGTATAGTCTAGTTTAGTATAGTTTTCATAGATTTTTTTAAAATAAGAAAGTTATCTCGGCTCTAGAAGGTCACAGGAAAATATTTTTTCTTTTTAAATTCGTGAAAAAATTTCAGCAATATCTTTCTTTAAGTTATTTCCATAAAGTAAAAATTTAAATACTTATTTGAAGAAAAAAAAAACAGCCTCAAGAGTGCAATTTTTTCAGTCATTTTTTGATTCCTAAAATTAATAAAATTGTAAAAATTATTTAAGGACATGGTAATACAACTCTTTACGAAGAAAATAAGCCGAAAATCGTACGGCCATCCGCTGAGAAGGTCTAGCCAATTTTCAGAGCGCGTTTTTTTTAAATCGTTATCTTTGCATTTCGAAAAATAATAAATATTTTCAAATTTTTCAAAAATGTGATTTTTTAGTTTGCCACAGGCTATTCTTGTACTAACATAAGTATGGAAAGGTAAATTTAAACGAATTATAGAAGAGAAAAGTGAAAATTTTTATCGGTTTTTTGGATATATCTAGAAAAGTAACAAAGCAATCGATACTTACAAAATCTGTCCATAGATCTTTTTTAAACCTACAACTTTCTTATTTACAATTTTTTGATCGGAGCTATAGTTTTTTAGTTATTTTAGAAAAGCCGTTTTTTGAAACTTTGCGCATTATGTCATGTAATGTTCGTCATTTTGCATAGAGATCAATTTTAAATTTCATTTCCTATATATTATAATAATTTCTGTAAAATAACATTAGGCCGTCACAGAATACCTATTTGTTAGGAGAACTTCGAAAAAACAATCCATATGATTTTAAGGATTATATTATTTGAGAATACAACGTTCGCCTGTATTTTAAAATTAATTCTTAAAAATTCATCTTTAAGAGGACACGTGAAAAAGTGTAAAAAAAAATGTAAAAATTTTAATAAAATTTTTTTAGAGATGATTCGATAAACGTCAACGTCCCATGCACGGAATTTCATTTTTACACATTTTGCACGCTCTCTCGAAGTGTATGCGTCAAAAGTGTCAGAAAAACCGTGTGTAAGTAGGACTATCATTTCTTGGCATAGTTATAATCTCCAAAGGAATAGAAACAAAATGATAGAGCAAAGTGTTCCCATGATTATTTTGCGGCCTGATTCGAAAAAGAAGCATTTTGCGGACTATTTTTAGTTCTCAAAGCATTAACTTTTAAGAACGTAAACTGAACATTTCTATACCGGTTAACTGAAATACAATTTTTCGGTCCCAAAATTTGATAACGGAAAAATATTCTTGGATTCTGTAAAAGCCAATTGATAGAGCTTTGCGATAATATCAATCACCGGGTATTGCCGTAAAGTAAATTTTTGCCTAGATTTAGAGTATGTAAATAATTTTAATATAAAATTCCCCATAGTTCATAATCGAAAATATGACTATGGGCGACAATATTATACATTTCAAAATTAAACTTAAAATATGGTTGCTTAAATGTGGAATAATATGCATATACATAATTGTACACCTGAAAAACAATCCGTTTTTCTTTGGTATCTATGCTATAACATTATTTTTTACCAAAAAACATTAATTTTCTCATCGTTTTCAGAAACAATTTTCTGTTATTTAACTATTATTTTCTAATTTATTTCGATCAGCCTCTTACATTAAATGAATTTTCATTAGATTCGATTATTTAAGGTCACACGAGGTTTCCAAGTTGACGTCAGAAATAAGACAGCTGAAAGTACGCCAGGAACACCTTGAAGAACTAAATCTGAAATGTCCGACTGAAAATCTTCAAAAGATGGTGGAGGAGGGCAGACAAAAACTCAACGAGCTGATGAAAAAGTCCATGGAAAGTGAGCAGAAGATTCTTCACTATGAGAACGTCATAGAAAAACAGAGTAAGCAGATGAATGAAATGGAAAACCTTCTGAGGTACAGGGAGAATATGGCGGGAGTTTTGAAAGCGTCCAGAGATGAGTTGATTTTGGAAAAGGAGAGCCTAACAAGATATTCTCATGAAATGAGAACCGTTTTAGCAGAGGTAAATTGAGGTTGGTTCATTTGTAATGCTTCTCCTATCGAGGCAATGTTTATACTGAAATTTTTTTAGTAATGATAGTGATCGGGCGTTAAGGTTCAATTAAAAAAATATTTTTCAAAAAAGATCCATAAAAGATCCGCGGGTAATTATAACAAAAGGTATATCATATTGATAAATGTTTATTATAAATCATCTTTATCAAAACATTTCATATATATAGCTTTATCAGGTTCCTCATAAATTTCGCTTTATTAAACTATAGTTACAGAATATTTCCTAAGTTGGCACCCAATTCAAATTATTGAAAGCCAGATGGATCCTCAAGTTATTTTGAAAAATTATTTATTCATTATTAATCACAATCATACAGGATGTCCAAATTTACAGTAGTAATATTGTACGTCAGTAGAAGGGAAATTAAGTTGAAAAGTTTTATGTAACATGTGTCAAGAAGTTATTATTTTTCAAGATTGTAACATTTACGAAAAAATAACGTTTTTCTGCATTCACTGGAAAACCATAAAGTAAAACTTTAGATTTGGTTGTGCGTATTTTTTTCTATTTCGTCATCAATATTGTATATTTTTGTTCATTCGAGATATGCTCTATGTTCAATGGCGCAGAAACTGAGGGATAAGGAATCTTTTTTTGTTTAGAACTTGGACGCCACTGAATTTTGGGGAGAATTGCGTTTTCGCTTTTTTGCGACAACGTTTTAAAGTTAGCAAATATCATTAACGAAAAATATAAATCAACTCTTCAGGCCTAGAAGGTCCATAGGTTTATTTACTTCTTTTTTCCATCGTCCTTTCTCATAACCTCAATCTTCCATCTAGCTTTAGATCTTCCACGTCTCTTCCTTCCTCCTATACTAGATTCTAGTATTTTTCTCAGAAGTTTTCATATATTCTGGTTTGACTTTTCACCCCTCCTATAATGTCTGGTTCTTTACATAGCTCCATTAGCTCTTTATTACATCTCTTCGCCTAAATTTCCTGTACCTCTTTGCCGCTATATATTTTTCTAAGTATTTCCTTTCCCATACTCTTAACATTGTTCGCTTCGCTGTTCAAAGGACCCATACCTCACTAGTAAATATTGCTTATGGCCGAATGACTGTTTTATAGATTATTTTTAAGTCCTCTTGTACATTTGCATTTTGCATAAATCTTTTTAAAGCGTCTATTCCCAGCCATAGTTCTTTGTTAAATTTCCCTCCTTATATAAGGTTTCATACTAAATATAGGTACTCCTAAATATGTGATATACTCGACTTCCTCAAATATAGAGAGTGTTTCGCATAAGAACCGACACAGACCAGGGGCATGTAGGAGAACACAAAATATGGTGATTTAATGCAACTTACCTTTATACTAAGCAGCACCCCTAGAAGTTATAGGACTTGAGAGTAGGGTTAAAAAATTCCGTCATATTTTAATGGTGCATCATCCTCCTTAAAATGATTCAGTTGAACTCTATTTACTGTCGATTAATGCTCTTGGTACTCTTACACCGTGTATAGTACCAAATTTGGTTTTTCTACGTTACTGAATAACTAAGATATTGATTTTTTTTTAAATTTGAAACCCCACTTTCAAGGCCTATAACTTTTTAGGGATGCAGATTAGTATAAAGGTAAGTTGTGTTAAATCACTGTATTTTGGGTTTTGGGTTCCCTTATATGTCCCTGATCTATGTCAATTCTTACGTGAAATATCCTGCATATGTTTTTCCGTTCTCGTTTTCCCTGTGCGTTTCATATATTTCGTCTTAGCCTGATTTATTTGTAAACCCGTCATTATTACCCGGTTTTCTAATTTTAAAATACATTCTTGTAACTCTTCTCTAATTCAGGTGAGCATGTGCAACAGCTAAACATTAGTATCGTTTGTGATATACCAAACTAGATCTATTTAAGTTTGCTTTTGTCATTACATACACTAACACAGTTAAATAAAGTAGTTGCCTCTACTTTAAAAACATTGCTTGCTTTATCTTTACATCTTAGTCTATTGGTGGTCTCCTTCAGTGTAAGTTGAATAATTTTAACGAGCTTATCGTTCACTCCCAAATTTTTCAATGTTTTATAACTCGATAGTAAGCCTGCTTGAAATCTATAAATGCTACATGTGTCTTTTTTATATTCAGATCTTTCTGCTTTGATTTCCCTAAGTATAAAAATTTGGTCCCCTATTTCGTTTTCCATTACTTCTGTTAATTTATTCTTTATATGCGGAGATAGAATTATATAAGCAACATTCAGCAGGGTTATTTCACGGTAACTAGAGCTTTTCTACATTTCTTGAAAAGTGGTACGAGTAAAGCTTCAGTCCAATTCTTTGGCATTTTCTCCTGTATATAATTTGTTGAAATAATTTATGAATCAGTATGGCCAACTCTTCTCCACCAGATTTAAACAATTCATGTGCTATTTCTACAGTACTATTGTTGTTTTTCGCACTATGTATAATGTCCCTTACTTCAATCAATGTTAGGGGACCTTTTCTTTGTTCCTGTGTGTTGCGTGTCTAAACTTCCCAATTTACTTCTGCTTCTCGGCTCTCGTCTTCATCTCCATTCAACAATTTTTTTAAATAATTCTCCCAATGCTCCCATAAGGCATCATCATCCCGTGCCTTATTTTGTGATAATCTTTTTGTTTCCTTATTTTTGTAATTTTCGTTCTCCCAGCAGTTTTTTTAACACTTATTTGCTTCTTACATGCTCTTTTTAACTCATCTGTTCCATTACTTAGCATCATTAACCCTAGTTCCCTTCTTTTTTCTAATTCTTTCACAGCTTCTTTCATTTCTTTTCTTAAGTTTTGCCAAAGAGTGTATGCATCTTTGAATTTGGAATCTAATATACACTTTAAAAGTTTAACTAAATTTAATCACAAAATGAAATCAATTCATAAAATTAATAACGTTACTCAAAGTCAAAGACATGTTCAAATTATGCACTATTTTGTTAGAAAAACAACTGACAGCGGCACGCAATGGAGGACCTCATTAAAGTTACAGTACATAGAAGCTTATTAACAGTACCTACTATAATTATTATTTGTGGCTATAGTAGAATACAAAATCAATTTGAGTATTGCTTCTGTCATGAGCACAGGAAAAAGTCGACATATGTTTCTACATCTTGGAAATCACAGAACAATGAAAAAGGAGTAGTTTCTAGTGCAATGTATGTAAGTACTTTAACCTTTACACGAAGTAAATGTTGTTATCGTATTGCATTATATGCTCATTGCTCCTATATAGATCCTCTTGATTTTTCGTTTTATTAAAGAAAGTGTGCAGTTCAGAAGGTACGTGAAATAAATTCACCCAGCTAATACAAAATGCATTCGATGAAATACGAGAATATCAATTTACTTCCTGTAATGAGATCCATTGCACGTTGCTGTCAGCTGTGCACCTAAGGAAGTTTGAAATTTGAACAGTTACTTTAACTAAAGTTAGGTACCTACTAATTTTATACACATAATGTTATTTTTCATAAAACTGAACATAGTACAGAGAAAATTCAGAGGCGTACAAATTTTATATAGGTACGCAAAAAAATTCTTCATAGTCCAACTTCTGCGCCAGACATTTAGCACATGTATCGTATTTACAAGGAAATAGCACCCTTGGTTAAAAAACACATGCCAGATCAAGAATCGAAAGTTTTGTAGTACACCTTTGCAATAAATGCAGCAGAAAGAAAAAAATTATTTATTTGTAATCTTCTACACTCTCGTATGTACCTCGAACTCAATACATACCTATATAAAACTTTTCAACCTAAAATACAGTTTTGTTTTGACAGTTACTGCTGATATAAACTGAAACACTGAAAATATAATTATGTTCTCTCTTTCGAAGTAGGTCTCTTTCTTTTTTTAAAATTTGTATAAGGTATACTTATACTGTCTCATAAAATAATGTTTACCTACGACCACTACTGTAAATACTTAAAAACACACCGTCTGCGATCAATGTAAGATTCCTATTACGTACGGTAAAAAAATCGCACAGCTTGTTAAAAAAATCGTAGTTTTCCTAGCAACCGCCTAACAACGGTCAATACAATACTGTTTGTAACTTGACAATCCTATGGTAATTATAGAATCAAGACGTATAGTTGCACTTCGGGAAGATTATTTATAAAAAAATAGAGAATATCGTCACCTAAATAGAAATAAAGCTCGGAATATAGTATATCTAGACAAGACAAGGCAAAATTTTTCTGGACGCCTATGGATTCCGTAGAGTTTATGAGTTAAATGTTTTTATGCGGTTCCAACTGATATCGTAACGACTATACTAATGAGTTATTAAGGCCCGGTACTCTCACTCTCATTTAAGGCTGGATTAACTAATCAGGCGATTAGACTGTGATTATACTTTATAAAATAAATCAGTATGTGTTTGTACAGTCTAATCTCCTGATCAGTTAATCAAACTTTAACCGAGACTCAAAGCACCGGGCTTAAATGTTTTAATTTGTTGTTTAATTTAGTGTCACCTATGCCCTTTACAGGTTCCAAAAATCCACTTGATATCCAGCTACTGAAAAGAGTTACTAGCATTTTCGTGGACCCTTGCATCTGTCAAATTTTTTATTTAAAAATTAATATCTCAAAATCTATAAGTCCTAGATATTGGGAATATGTAATAAAGTGACCCTCAAATTTCACGTAGAGCCCGAAAATGTAATAATATATAGGGTGTTCCATTTAAAATAAGAAAGTTAGTGTCGGCTGCCGGTATAACCGGAAGTGCCTTAAAGTTTTAAATATTTTATATGTGTTGTCCCTACTGACTTTGTTAGGTTACTAATTTTTTAAATTTATCGGCTCAGTGCTTTCCAATATATCGATAGTGGCTGTTCTTGGTGGGACACCCTGTATATATGGATTATTTTTTCTTCCATTAAATTATAGTCAAATTCGATTCTTTGCTTGGTATTCAAAATAATAACGAATAACAGGATGGAATCAAGATTGTAATAATTAATTTAAGAAACCTTTTAAATTTTTTTGTAAGAGCATAAAATATTGCAATTTTAACCTTTTTAACTGTGGTTCCAAGTCTCAATTCATATTATTCAGTGCAGTTTAGTGTTAAAGAAATGGATTATACTATTTACTTACTAATACGTAATAATAAGTTTTGTAAATATACCGTTATTATTATTTTTATTGATAATGTTAATTTCAACATTCTAAAAATAAAAAATCTGTAATATGGAGAATACAATGTTAATATAAAAAAAAGTTTTCGATAATAATTTGTTTATTTTAATAAGATCAAAGACAGAATAAGACAAATTCAGACATAATTGAATATTTTCTTTAATGTTATAATAAAGACACCGTGTTCATGCAAATATTTTCCACATTCGACTTCTAGGAAATTAAAAAAGAAACAAAAATTTACCAAGAAAAGTCAAGTTTTCAGGGGGACAACTTTTGAAAAATTTTTGTATAGGTGTGTAATCTGATGTTCAAGTTACTTCACAAGTTCTTTCAATATTTTGGTATATTATAATTTCTTTGTAATTTGCAGGTAAGCAAGGAGGGTAAGATGAAAGACAGGCTTATAAAGGAGCTGCAGGAAAAGATAGATCTTAGGGAAAGGCAGATATCGAAGCTGGAGAAAGAAGTAAAAGAACTGGAAGCTAATCTAGTGATGACAAATGAAAAACGGTTCAAGTTACAGGAAACCATTGGAAGTATGGAAAAAGAACTACAATCCACCAAAGCTCATGTTAATCAGCTAGCAGATATAAACACACGGTATGACATTGGTATGCAATGTTCAAATAGTTTCAGTTATGACTCTGATAATAGGACTATAATCTTAAGTCAGTCTGACAGGCCTACAAGTAGAAACTTGTTAGATTATTCTCAAGAATATGTATTTCAGCAAAGCGCTGCTCCTCATCCCTCTCATTATGATCACACTCCTCAAAATACCTGTGTAGCAGAAATAGGTTGTAAAAAGGAAATAAGTTCGAGATCTTTACTTGGTCTAACGTTACAAAAAGTCGATTTACTTAGGACTAGACTCAATTATTTAACAACAGTTAACGTGGAACCATTTATAGGAAACCATTCTGTCACTTCTCGTGCCAATAAACCTTTCAAAAGTTGTAAAACTCAAACTGTCAAAGACGGTAATACTCAACATCAACACTTTGCCAAAATTTTAGAGTTAACAGCTAACAGGTATGAACTGTTACAAAAACAAGCATATGAATCTTATGCCGAACTAACAAATTTAATGAAATTGGCAGTGTCAGCACACAATATATGTAATCAATAAAAAATTTAAACATTTTCTTTTTGACTTGTGTAATGCTTTTATTTTAAATAAAATAGATGCAGGTACTGAGGAGCATACTCTATACATGTACACATATTGTCGGAGTAAACATTTGGGAAACTCACTGTTAAAGGCTTCTAAAGAGTTTTTATTTGTTAATTACCTACATATAAGTTTGCTCTTCAAGTATTAATGTCATGATAAGTTTAAAAACTTCCTTGAAGAATTTAACTCTGACTAGAGAAATTTGATCATTTTATGATATTTTAATGTATATTTTTTTATATTTCAGTACCAGACTTAAATTCGTCAAGCCCTTCTGAAGGATCATTGAAAATTAAAATTACTGTTGGGTGAGATATCGAAAAATATGAATGTAAGAAGAATTATAATATAAATGAACTGTTATCATATTTTAATAAAAAGTAACTCAGTCTATTATATTTTGTTTTCTTTAATTTAATTTATAAATTAATTTTACTGTATTTAAAGTAAGTACCTACGATGGTTTTTCGGGACGTTATACCTACCTTTGCCGATTTATCTGGACTTACAAGTAACTTTCTCAGCCTTAAGATAAATAGGGTGCCTCATAAGTAACGCAGGATTTGTATTGTACGCCATTTTCATTCCAAAGAGTTAGCAGTACTGTGCACACGTTGTACAGGGTTATTCATACAGGGTGTCCCTGAAAAGGATGGACAACGCTTAACCACAGGTTCCTTGGATGAAAACAAGACTATTTACCCTAACTTACCTATATACAAAAATGCACGCCTACTGAGATATAGCCTTCTAAATATAGAACAGATAACCTAGTTTTTTCAAATAATTTGAAAACTGTTTTTCTTAGAAACTTCAAATTTGGTATACGTATTTTTTATATAAGGGCAATGTAAATATAGAATTTGGTTATAATACATATACAGGATGTCCTCTTTCGAGTGTCTGTGCGCCACTGGCTATCCCGTAATTTTATGCGTGTGCGTCAATGACGACAGAATTTGTATTTTTAAAAATAAACACTATTTTAGAAGATTTTTTGCCTCTTACAAAATTTTGATATCGTTTATGGATTTCGAGTAAAATTGGCATTTTTACACATTAAATAATATAAAATTAGTTTAAGATAAATACAGGGTGTCCCTGAAAAGGATAGACAACGCTTGACCACAAGTTCCTTGGATGAAAATAAGACTATTTAGCCTAACTTACCTATATACAAAAGTGCACGCCTACTGAGATATAGCCTTCTAAATTTTTTAAAAATTTTGATATCGTTTATGGATTTCGAGTAAAATTGGCATTTTTCGTACATTAAATATAGGCAAAAATTCCGATTTGTAAAAAATAATTTATAACTGCAGCCTCAAAGCAGGGAATAATAATGAAAAAAATAAAAAAAAAAACTATACATTTTTAGTCTTACAATTAGTATTATCAAGCAATAAAGTAAAAATCAACACTAATATTTTATATAGACAATATCAACTAATAATGTAAGAAAGTCAACATTAACATTTTAAATAAACCTAAATTGATATTTGTAATCACATTAAAATAATATTACAGTAAATGTTCAAAGTGACTTCCTTGTTCTTAAACGCAAGAATTTTACTCAATAATTGTGCATTACCTCTCATAACATTAATATTATTATTAAAGTTATAATAGCCCAGTCGGGTTGTCATTTAACCAGGAAAAAATTAAGGACCACAATTTTATTGTTCTAACCTTTAGGGGGGGGGGTCAATAGTAGTGTAAATTCAGAATCGCGACTGAATTCCACCCCTGCGTCAGCCGCCATCTTGAATTTAAGGAAAAATCGTTTTTGCTCAATATCTCGGCCATTTTCAACTTTACAACAAAAACAGTAAGGACTTATGTTGTTGCAAATTCGATTTTCTACAACTTCTTTCCTTACAAATTTTTATCGTGCGATCCATATTTTTCAAGTTAAGGGAGAAAATAGTGACAAAGTATAATTATTGAATTATCTCGTTTGTTATTGAAAGAATTATATTTTCTACAATTTTGAACCCTTTGATTTTTTCGCTACTACCAACATTTAAGGTCCTACCCCTATGGCAAGCCTAACTAAACTCAAGGGATCAACATTCCATAGGATTGACGTCTCCGCAAGCCAGTGGCGGCTCGTGACATTGAGAATAGGTGAAGCATATTTATTGATTGACTAAAAAAAAAGCGCCGCAGGCGAAAATTTTCAAATTTTCAAGGTCAAACGGCTTTAAATGAATCTGGAAATTTTAGTTGCATTTGCAATATTACCGAAAAACTGACGTTGGCGAGAAGGATTTTCATTTAGATTTTATAAAAAATAGAAATATTAGTTCGGCTCGTGGACTTAATGATAGGTACAGATACAGATGTTAAGCGGGATTGTTAAATCCCTCCTTATTTCACACGCCCGATTTTACACTCGCAATTAAACACGGCATACAAAAAAGTTTTTTTAAATAAACACATCCACACAATCACTTACACTCCGAATACGATTCAATCCGAAATTTCCGAACATACCTACACTTTGTCTTTTGACTTCCCCCTTTTTTCCACATCGAGAGAAGGTACAGGTCTTTCGCAATATAAAAAATCTTTTTTGTCCTCAATTTTCGGTCTGGAAAATGGCATTTCCAATAAAATATTTACAGGATCGTGCATAGGAAACATTTCTACAAATTATTGATATAAAACAAATATTAATAAAGAACCATTATAACCGTGCACTGGGCAACGTATCGTATAAACTGTTTACACACGATAGACAGGCGATGCGCGATGACGTTGAGAATGCTGCTTCAACTTTTGCATCACTCGTTCTCCCAAGCCGTAGTTTACACATGCGTTGGCTGCCTCGTTGCCATGACAACCGCCGTACGGAGAGCTACGGAGAGAAGCAGATAAATACCAATTTCAATATGAGTCATTTGCGTAGTATTGTACACTGATGGGCATCTTAAAGTCCCCACTAGTTGGGTCGCTCTCATTCTATCGCGCCCCACCACAAATAATTACGGAATGTTTCGGACTGGGAGTGGGGCGTGGAGATATACTACACCGTGGCACCAAAAACTCTGATATATTCGATAGGGTAAATAATTAATCTGATACCAGTTGCATTTGATATTTTTTAAAATATTATTTTATTAATGATATGTAATGTATTGTAACATTTGTTTGGTTAGTTAAATCATTATATTGAAGATTTTTTTAAAAATAAAATGTTATACTGTTTACTATTTTAACCATTGTTCACTACATCCACATACCTGCATATTTAGTGTTTTCCGTATTAGAGATATTCATTTATAAATGTTGTCTTAAATCAATACATACAGGGTGGACTAATAGTGATTATATTACTCCTATGTCATATAGATAGAAAA